CTCGATGACCTAACTATTTGAGAGCGTCTGTCGTCAAGGCTCGTTGTTGCAGATTGACGACAGCGGACGTGCCAAAGGGCAAACCGCATTTGATTTCCAAAACTCTTTTGAATACATGTCATGTGTGTTAAGCATGCTACCCTAAACCCTAAACCCGAAACCCTAAACCCTCAACAAAAAGCGATTGCTCATGGTAGCCGGATCACGCAGTATGCCGTCCACGAACTCATCCTTCGAAAGCTCTCCTCACAAGAACAGAGGTTTGGGGGTTTATAAGGTTGAGGGTGTAGAATTTCAGGGTTTATGAGGTTTAGGGTGTATAAGGTTCAGGGTTTATGAAGTTTACTCTCAACAAGCCACACAAGCCCGCCTGCACATCGTGATCATCTCCGATGCCACTCCACAACGTTCCCAAACCCCACTCCGAAGCCATGCAGCACAGCGAAAGACAGAACAGCTGGGCTACGTGTCTTCTGAGGGTACCCTAAACCCTAATTGCTAAACCCTAAACTTTTGCCCCCTAAACCCTAAACCCTAAACCCTAAACCCTAAACCCTAAACCCTAAACCCTAAACCCTAAACCCTAAACCCTAGACCGCCGAGGTGATTCCTCAAGAGGACTTTCTGGGAACCCACTGCGAAGGTGACCCCCGGTCTCTAAGCCTGCAAAATACTTACGACCTGTCATCAGTATATAGGAAGGGCAAAGATATACAATAGTACATAAATACATACATATTGTTTAATTATCGTCATGCAGACTGCATAATACGAAACAACATATTTTCTGGGGGTTCCGAAACTAGGGGTACCTTCTTGGGGGCCTTATATCCCATTAGGGGGTCCCTTACTTTCGTAACCCCCCATTGGGGGCTTCACGAACATAGGGGATCCCGAAAATAGACCCAAGTAGTAGGATTCCCTTGTTATCAGGACCCCCCAAAAATCCCGAATATCGTAAACCCCCATATGTCTATACACTCACCAAAATTAAAGAGGAACCTTATATACACTCACCAATAACACTAATATAAACCTTGTTTCGGGGACCCCGAAAACAGACCCCAAATAGTAGGATGCCCTTCTTATCAGGGCCCCCCCCCCCCCCCCCCCAAAAAAAAAAACTAACTTTCGTAAACCCCCGTAGTTCTTCTTATCATGAACATGAAAACTAGAAGCAATCCTTCCATTTGGGGTCTATAGGAGAGGTCCCTTTGTTTCATAAGCCCCCATATGTCAGTGTCTTGGTTCAGGGCCGAGTCTCCTGTACCATCCACGTCCAGCTGGGCAAAGATGTCCGACAAGTCGTCCTGAGGTTGGGCTGCCCATCATCGCCACTGGAGGGTTTAGGCTTTGGGGGTTAGGGGGTTTAGGTGGTTTAGGGGTTTAGGGCATTTAGATAGGGTTTAGGGTTTTCACAAGGGTCTAGGGGGTTTTGACACAGTACGCCGTTCGTCGAGATCCTGGGTCTTGACACAAAAACCACTGCCTTGCGTTGGCTCTCAACAGTCAAAGAGCCTTCTGGAATTGTCATATGGGGGCCTTAATTAGAATAAGTTTTGTTTTTTTGGGGGGGGGAGGGGGGGAGCGGGGGGGCGGGGGGGAGGGGGTTATTATAGTAAAATAGTATAATTATGGAGGGACCATAAGGGGATCCTTTTAGTCATTGTTCCGACACCGATAGAATCGTCTCCATCCTGAGCCCTGCAAGTCCTTATTACTATAAGGCGGCCCCTAAACCCTAAACCCTAAACCCTAAACCCTAAACCCTAAACCCTAAACCCTAAACCCTAAACCCTAAACAGAGAACTAACTGACGTGCGGTGGGTGTCACAAGTCGAGCCAAGTCGGGCCAGATCACAGTACTCCAATCTGCTTAAGAACCCCCCCCCCCCCCCCCCTTTTCCGTAGAGTAGCAGGGGGGGGGGGGGGGGGGGGGGGGGGGACCTGAAAAGAGCGAGCTCAGGATGTGCCGTATAATTCCCCAGCCAAAAGCTTGCTTGGGCATACCGTCTGAGAAGCGACTGGTAACAGCCACTTCAGGGTTGAGGTTCCTCCAAGTAGAACATCAAACGCCCGATCAAACTCTGTGGGGGCCCGTGGGAAAGCAAGCCACAATGCAGAAGAAGCCCACGAACTTTTTCGAGGGACGGCAACAAAGGGTGTTCCCTCGCTTGGTTCCTGAACTCATGAACTAAACAAAACCCTGAATGCTAAACCCTAAGCCCTAAACCCTAAGCCCTAAACAAGGCTTGAATATTGACCCTTACATCCTCAAAGTGCACTCTGAGCTGCAACAAACAAGACGTCCAGTAGCTCTTTCGGCACCTCAGATGGAGAGGGCAGCGCCGCTGACACTTGGCCAGAGGGATTTTGGAACCTAAACCCTAAACCCTAAACCCTGAACCCTAAACCCTGATTTTCCAAAGACGGTTTCGGAAACAGGCGTTAACATAAAGACGGTTTCGGGAAACAGGCGTCGTGAATCACGCAGGCCGTTTTTCTATGGGCCACAAGTTGGCTGGCGCATGAAATGATCAAAACCACCGGAGCAGACGACTTTTCCAGGCTCCGTTTCCCTGCGTTCTCGCGCGCAACTTTGCTGACAGGTTTAGCCTTAGATGACACTATCTGGTCAGTCGGAACGGATTCTCTGTACAAAGTCACTGCGTACTCATTCGATATGAGCTATGCTGCTTATGCATATAGCACATTTTTTTATGTTCCGAATAAAATCACATGTATTCGGTATTGACGATGGTTTATTCGTGAAGTTGTAGTTGAAGCACAGATTTAACAACAAAAACAACAGGTTCACCGGACAGGCACACTGGGGCCAAACTGTATTTCAAATCATTATACTATCTCGTACACATGCCACAGTACAAAGGCCCCGACATATTATGCAAAATGTGATGGACTTGCCGACCTGGAAATCTCGCCGAGTCAACACCGACATACACAATCGGCGCACACATCAAGTCGTTACACTGCGACTTCAAGCCGTTCACGACGGAGAACAGTCACTTTGTCGCTTTCGTCGAGTATATATTTCTGCACATGTCTATAGGTTGGGGGATGCCATGTTCGCAAGTGCAAAAGGAGCAGCTCGGATGTTTTGCAGCTTCGAAAGATCTTGAATTTGGTGTTCCTATAGTAGAGCGCAGGCGCCCATTTTCAGGAAGGTTGCCCACATTTCACGATAACACATCACGCTATTGACGTGAATACTTTTCGTTGCTGGAAAACGACTCTCTGAGTGAACCGCATCAGACAACACTTGCAAGTGCCGCTCAAATCGGAACTCACTGCTGCGCCTGCCGTGCGCGGGCAGGTTCACCAACGGTATTGCATAACACTGTAGATCCATGTCGCCTAAAGGAACCGAAATTCTTTGGTGTACCATGCTCTAACACTGACTATTGAACAGCAAATGGACAAATACACCCGTGCTTGCATGCATGCACTGCGGCACGCATGGGTGTGTGGGGCGGCGGAAAGCTTTTGGCTTCTGGGCCAGCATCTATACCTGGGGACACATGCGTGCCAAACAAATGTGTGATTCACGTTATTTTCGGCGTGGAGGGCCCGCAACGGTGCAAAATCCTGCGGCGCGCAAAACCGATATCCCGAAACAGGCGCTCACGCGAAACAACCGCGGCTCACGCGAAAAAACCGGCGTTCACGATGATTTCACGCATGTTTCACGCGGTTTTCACGGCATTTCACGGCCATTCGGCGTCGCAGAGCGTAATACCTAGTTTGACCGAATTTTTCCAAAACGAAGCAAATCACGCCAATCTCATCGTGAATCACGCTATCCTGCTGCACCCTGCATCCCATAATAAACCGAAGTTCGCAGCTTTGTTGGCTTTCCAGACAGCAACTAATGAGAACTCCCATAGTACTTTGAAAACAAATCACAAAGGCTTGGATTCGATTCACAGGCCATCACAGATACTGTAGAATCTCGGGCCGCGCCATTGGCACACACACACACACAGTCACACTGATTGAGCCTGATGCGCTGAGCTCTTTGGAAGTGATTATATCTGACATGAGCTATCGCCCCCTTCGGTAACGTGACGATACTCTACAGCATCACGCTGCAGTGAAAGAGCACTTGAACTGAGCAGCGCAGAACTTTCAACCGATGCTGATTCCCCACATTCGTTCTGATGATTTTACCGCTAGTATGGTAACCTTAACTTGTATTCGGACGGACAGGGGTTCCTGGAATTGCAAATGCCTCGGCTACGGATAACGTGTAAGGTGTTGTATTTCAACGTTGGCATAACAAGTTCTCCCACCGCAGTACGGCCATAATGTTGTGATTCTGAGGAACCAGTCATTCTAGTTTGTGCTACGACTCAAGCTTGGTGTGTTCAGGTATGTATATGTGTATGAGAAACAGGTGTAAGTGCGCACACTTTCCCACCGCGTATCGTTGACATCTCTCTGTGGATACGGGCAACATTAGATAACAAATTCTGCGCCATCCTGTCGTGCATATGTTTGTTGATTCTAAGCAACCTTCAGGCGGAGAGCGTCTAACGGAGGCTTATTTCACCGTCAAAACCAGACTTTGAGTCATTGCGTTCTTTGCGGTTGCGAAGGAATGAACACTTCGTGCGCCGGATAGACGAATGAAGGAAACATCGGTTCATGAGTGAAAGTCGTCCCTTTGACATACATCGATCACTTGACTTCTGAAGCAGATCTCTCTCTGGATCTCTGTCTTTCTCCAAATATGTGATCCCTTGTTTTCATTGACCATGGCAGTCATCTAGGTACCCCATGCAATTCATTTGCTTTGCCTACTTTGCTTTTTGTTTTGTCTTTCTCCCTCCCCTGCAGCCCCCTTTCGAGCGACATGGCTCTGATTTCTGCTTTCCGACACCTGCTTATAAGGTTTGTTAGGGGTAAAAACAGGCTTTAAGCAAAGCACGTTTCCGGAATAGGCGGAGACGCCCAGGGTAAACCCTAAGCCTATGCGGGGTTTATCGTAGCCTGCCGGGGCGGCGGGGGGGGGGGGGGGGTTTGTAAACCCAGTGGGTTTCAGGTTTTCGCCTCAGACCCTTCAAAACGTCCAAGAAAAGTCACAAGGCAACCCTAAACCCTAAACCCTAAACACTAAACCCTGAACCCTAAACCCTGAAGGAAAGTCACAAGGCAAACGCGCGAGTCGCGCCCTCCCTGTGGCCAGGTTGCATTCTCCGGCGGCACCATGTTTAGCTCGAAAGGTGTGATCCTTGCGACGGCGGTTTAGGGTTTAGGGTTTAGGGTTTAGGCTTCAGGGTTTAGGCTTCAGGGTTTAGGGTTTAGGGTTTAGGGGGTAAGGTGGATTGTAGGATGTTGAGTTCCAGGAAGGTTTAGATTCGTGATGGCGACATCGGCGTAGATGACATTCGGATCGGTTTTACCCAAGCCTACCGATGTGATCCAACTCTGCCCGTAAACCCTACATCCTAAACCTCAAACCCTAAGCCTTAGGCCTTAAACCCCAATAACCGAACCCCTAAACTCTCAACCGTCCCGGAGAGCGCCCCGCTCCTTAAAAGGGGGTCTCTCTTGTGGGCTCCTCACCCTCTTTCTTCCGCTGCATGTCCTGAAAGCCCAAACCCTAAACCCTAAACCCTAAGCCCTAAACCCTAAACCCTAAACCCCAACCTCTCCCTGCTGCTGGAGCACAGGCCATTGCGGTCTCTGTCCAGCTCCTCGAACAGCTCCCCGAGCTCCACGACCTCATGTGATACTTCTAGGGTTCTTAAGGGAGGGTTTAGGGTTTGCGGTTAGGGTTTAGGGTTTGGGGTTTGGGGTTTAGGGTTTAGGGTTTAGGGTTTAGGGTTTAGGGTTTAGGGTTTAGGGACTGTGTAGGGTTGATTGTTTTAGGCTTCAGGGTGTAAGGTTTAGGGTCCTGTAGGGTGAACCTAGACTACGTGCATAGAGTACGTTGTAAATTCACCCGGAGCCACTTACAGCTTCAGTTTTGACTGGCCATCAACCTGTGAGTAAGGCTTGTAAGGGCATACCATGCCGGCCATGGAAGGTGTTAGTGTCTACGAGATTTTCCTTTGCAAAAAACCCTTCACTCCTAAACCCCTCTTTCAACCCATGGCTTTCAGCCACCGACAAAGATCCAGGGTATAGGGTGCTGCATCGTTAGGACTTTCGTGTCTAAACTGTAAACCCTAGGCCCTAAACCCTCAATCCCTTTTTCCTAAGAACCATTGGCCGGTTTCCTTAAATTGGTATCTGGGCGTACCCCCATGTATCACACAGAGCTCTTAAGGGAGGGGGGTTCAAGGGGGGCAAGGTTCCCTAACACTCCCCACTGACTCCCTAAGTCTCCCTAAGCTTTGTTAAGGTTCCGCAGTTACCTACCGCCCGTGACCCCCCCCCCTAGCCCTAAACCCTAAACCCTAAACCCCAAACCCCAAACCCTAAACCCTAAATCCTAAAAACCCTACCTCAACATCGGGGCTGGATAAGGGTGTGTAGGTGTCTCGTGGTCAACGCCTGACCCCTTATACTAACAGTCCTTAATAGTATATTGTAATAGGGGGCACGGTAATCCCTATTCAGGACTGTTAGTACAAGGAGGAAAATTCCAACCTGAACCCCGAGACACGAAACACTCACAGGCAAGGCCAAAGCCTGGACCTCAAGATTCCTTTCCACAGTTCTTAGGTGTTTCAGATTCTGTTTAAGATGAATGGCTCAGGGCTTATTGCTTAGGGCTGCAGACCGAAACCCTAAACCCTAAATCTTAAACCCTAAGACCTAGACCCTAAACCCTAACCCCTAACCCCCCCACCCCCCCCCCCCCCCCCCCCCCCCAAAAAAAAAAAAAAAAAAAGAGAGAAATTGGAGCAAGGAGCCGATTTCTTGATGTATCTTGCCCTGTTGCGGTTCTCCTCTGCCGTCTCGAGCTGGGCATTCTCCAAGCCGTGCTCCACCAACACCTGGTGGGTGTTTAGGGTTTAGGGTTCAGGGTTTAGGGTTGCGTTTAAGGGTGCCGCACACCCAAAAAGAGCCACTACTTAGAGACAACTGGGTTCTCTAGATTGGGGTCCCGTTCAGGGCTGCGCAATGGAGCCTCATATTGGTGTACCCGGAAGGGACCATAGATTGCGAGAACCACTGGCCACCAAAACGGGTTTGGGTTTTGGGATTGGGCTTTAGGTTTCTGTTGGCTTTTGGACTGTGCGTCTGAGCTTTGTAGGTTTAGGGTGGAAGAGTGAAATATAGGGTCCTTAGTAATTGGAATAGAGTTTTTTTTGGGGGGGGGCTTTATAAGGACCACAATAATCAGGTAGACATCTTTCCGACCCCTATATTGGTGTTTTGGGTTCAGCTTGTTGGTGTGGGAAACATGAGAGGGCTGGGGTTGAGACACTTGCCTCTGCCTTGGTACCCCAGCAACCACTAAACCCTAAACCCTAAACCCTAAACCCTAAACCCTAAACAGGGGTAGCCTTTTTTGTGTTGGGTTACTTGATAAGGGAACCTTGGACAACAAAAAAGAGGGTAAAGGGTGCCACTGGGCTACCAAGATGCAGGGAACCAGCGCTCAACCCTGCTTTGCTGCATGCACTCTCCCAGAGGGTCCATTTGTAATACTCCCTAAGGGTCCATGTACCTTATTATTATATACTTGGGCCCCAAAGTCCCTATATAGGAAGTACTTTAAGGCCCAAGTATATAATAATGAGGTACATGGACCCTTAGGGACTATTATGGAATTAGGTACCCCAAAACCCTATTCAGTATGGTTTTTGGGTACCTAATTCCATAATAGGAATACAAATGGACCCTCTGGGTCTGGTACGGGGACGCACAGAAGCTTTAGCAGCCGAGCCGCGTTGATCGCCGTTTAGGGCTTCAGCCGTATTTGAGACGTTTCGTGACCATACCAGGGGGGGGGGGGGGGGGGGGGGGGGGGGGGGGGGGGGGGGTTGGGTAGGCGTTTAGGCTCTGGGTTGTATATCAAAAGTTCAAGGCTTCGGGTGTTTGGCCACCCTAATTAATCAACCCAAAACCATTCAAACCCTGACTTTCACTAAAGCCGTGAAAAACCATGCCTGCGAGCTCAGCCCGTCAAGAACCTTGAACTGTTGAAGCCCTGGCGTAAGGGGGGGGCCAAACGGGTTTCGGGTTTAGGGGCTCCTGAGGGAGGGGTGAGCTGACAGCTCGAAGGATGACTGCTCTTCTCAAAGGGCTTCTGATCATTTCGCCCTGAGCCCTAAACCCCATCTAGGCTGCCCAGTAACCTAGGCTTAAAAATGGTGCCCTTTTTTGCTTAAAGGGGTTTATAAGGGAACCTAAACCCCCCAAAAAGGGAATAAGGGTACTCCTGACCATCCTAGCCATGCATAACAACCCTACACAACGCCCAACCCCTGCATCACCCCATCCCACTCCGAACCCCATTCCGCTTCGGCCAGGCGACCGCCGTGACCAAGTTCATGAGGGTGATGGGCAAAATCATTAGGATGGGCCCGAAGAAGAATATGAGGCGGGGTCGGACGCCTCAGGGGATGGGTTGCTTGTTTAATGATGCACTTCATCATCTTTACGGCGGTTAAGCCCTAGCCCTAAACCCTAAACCCCAAACCCTAAGGATTCTTGACGGCTCTGCTTTGTTTGGTATGGGAGGGCTCGGGAACTAACTGAAATAGGGCTTAAAAAACCTTCGAACCCTTCTTCAGCAACTAACTGAGCTAAGCTGGAAATCCGAAACCCCAAACCCCAAACCCTAAGCCCTAAACCCCTAAACCCCTAAACCCCTAAACCCTAAACCCAAAATCCCCAACCAGTCCAGGGGGCTTCACACACCCACCCGAGTCACCAGAATCGTCCCCAATCCTACTCACGGAAGCTCAGACTACTTGGAGGTTCATGGGTAGCTAAGAGCAAGGTCATAAGCACCCTAAATGGGGCGACAAGTTTTCTATAAGTATAATTAACCTACTTGTACTATGTCAGGGTCGAAAGTATCCGAAAAAGGGTGATGAGTATACTTACTATAAGTATAACCCTACTTCTGACTACCCATGAACGTCAAGGTAGAGGGGGTGAGGAAGGACCTACTTGATCCTACTTGGACCTTTGTTGTTCGGTGTGGAATATAGGGGCCTTAATGATTAGAACAGGGTGTATGGTTTTTTCTAGTATAGATACCCAATAACTAGAATAGGGTTTAGGGGTTTTGTCTAGAAGAGACTTGTAGGGATCATGAGGGAATGCCAGTAGTAACTGTTGAGTACCTAGCTGGGACCCGACTGGAACCGCCCTAGCATCCCACGAACCACTTGCTGCGTGGGCCACACACGATCGGGAAGTAGATTGCGCCGATCGAGTCCAGCGTGATGAACTGAATCCTTGATCCAGAGATTCCCAACTCCACATTAAGCAAGGATGAACTCCCTACATCATCTTCCGGGCCCCTCTACATTTTAATGCATCTTCTTAACCCTAAACCCTAAACCCTAAACCCGAAACCCCAAACTCTAAGCCCTAGACCCTAAACCCCGATGCAAAGACATTGATAGATCTTCGGCGTCTCTGGATACCGGCACAGGGTCGGGATCGTTCTCATGTGCAGCTGAATTTAAGGCGCGATCCTAACCCTCAATGTAGGGTCTAGGGTTTAGGGTTTAGGGTTTAGGGTTTAGGGTTTAGGGTTTAGGGTTTAGAGTTTAGGGTTTGGGGTTCCTTCCATGACACGAGGGGGCTATTCGGGTTTAGGGTTTAGGGTTTGGGGTTTAGCATACATACATACATACATACATACATACATACATACATACATACATACATACATACATAAACAACATACAGAGAGAGAGAGAGAGAGAAAAAACAAAAAAAAAACAAGCTCTGTCGATTATAAGGGCTCCGTAGGGCTTCTGCACCACTCTGCCTGTGGTTTGGATCGTCCTGGTCTGATAGACATAGGCCCCGTGGCCATTTAAGGGAAAAGGAATGCGCGCGTGCAGTGAAAGGCAGTGCTTTGGGTGTTTAGGGTTTATAGGGCTTAGGGTCTCGGGTTTAAGGTTTTCGGGAAATCTTGGGTTGCAGTGGGAGTTGCGGTGTGGGTGGGGTGGATGGGATGTAAGTACAGTCGAATAAGCCTGCAGGTAACTGAGAAAGAACATGCTCTTCGAGAGAACGACGAGCGGCAGGGTGACCATCGTCAGTGGCAAACTTGGAAAGTAATAGTTTACCTTAGCATGTCTTTCAGGCAATTCCCACGAATGTGTCGCCATGGACTTCATGCTCATTGCTGCAATGCTGCTCCGGCTAGTTGTATTAGCTCCGGCACACCTCTTGTCTGCCACAAATGGCCTACTGTTGCTACGGCCCCTTGCGCCACGAGGACTTGCGAAACATATGATGCGTCGGGCAGGTTGTCTTTCCGTTGTGACCTACGCAGGACTTTCTACTTAATCCCTGTTCCCCTAGGAAGAAAAAAGGATCCTTTTTGTTTATATATAAGAAAGCCCATAACCCAAAAAGTAAAAAGGATCCCTAACACTGATTTAGTCTAGGGCCCCAGCCTTCCAAGACCCTGCTTTTGGTCGATTGAGTACTGATGTGGACTTAAGTAACAGGTTAAAAATGGAGAAAGATTTCCACAGCTCCAAACCTCGTGTCCCAGTTCGCAAACCCATGCAGGGTCTGGGGGCAACAGCAAACAAACACCAAAGAAAGAAACCGAAACCCTGACGGTTTAGGGTTAGGAGTTCAGTGGTTCAGAGTTCAAAGGCCCCAAACCCTAAGCCCTAAGCCCTAAGCCCTAAACCCTAAACCCTAAACCCGAAACCAGTTCAGCAATGCAGGGTGAGCTAGGGCTCAAAGTTTGAGGTTTAGGAAGGGAGCAATCTCGGCCGTGTCCGGGTGTGTCTTGAGCCGCTCGTCCTCAGGGTGAGCCACAGCTGGGTTTAGGGCTTAGGGTTCAGGGTTTAGGGTTTAGGGCTTAGGGTTTAGGGCTTAGGGTTTAGGGTTCAGGGTTTAGGGTTACCACCCAAAGTAGGAGTTTTCCCCTGCTTTACCCTCAGAATACTCTAACCAAATCCTTGCCCAGACCCCTGGGAGGATCCACAAAGTAGATCCCCTTAAGGGTTCCTAAGAATGACCCCATAGTAGCATATATATATATATAGGATACTATTGGGTGGTTCTACTTCTTGGATCCTCCCAAAGGTCTGGGTATTCCAGGGGCCACGCGGAATGATACCCCGAAATTTGGCAACCCGACCGCCCCTTGCCTCAGGGTCGATCTCCTCTAAATGGTATTGTATACTTGGGCCATAAAGGGATTCCTATGTAGCAGCTGTAGGGCCTAGGCATGTGTTTTTTAGGTACCCAAAACTCTTCTAGGCTCAACTCAAGTATCTACGATGCAGGTATATGGCCCTTAGGCTATTTTGACCTGTTAGACAACTCACTCAACACATTGTTCCCTACAACCCGATCCCTAGTAGCCCCCAGAGCACATGCGCCCGGGGGTTAGGGGTTTGGGGGCTTAAGGCTTAGGGGCTTTGGGTTTGGGGTTTCCGGGAAGGGCCGGGGGGGGGGGGGGGGGGGGGGGGGGGGACCCGAAAGTCCGAAGTCCAGGAGCCCAAGACCCTCAACGCAGAACCTCCGAGTTATGCTTGCGGCGTAAAAACCGTAAACCCCAAACCGTAATCCATATGAAAGGGCATGTAGGGCTTGCAAGGCTTACGAGCTTAGTCTGAGTGTGTTCGTCGTCCTTGGTGATCAGCTCAATTCCAAGACCTTGGACATAAGGGTGTAGGGTTCAGGGATTAGGGTGTAGGGCTCAGGGTCTCAACGCACAGGTGGGATGGATTCCAGGGTCTTTGAGGCAGTAAAGAACATTATGATCGAAACAAGACATGAAAGTTGTAGAGTCGCTAGTGAAAGTAAATAGCTGGTTAAAAGAGGTTAATGAGCCTGATGATGATAGAAGTCTTATGGCGAACGCATGAACGTGAGAACGTGATGTTGGGGTCCCGAGGGTGGGTTCTTAGTGGCTTGGAAACAGAGGTTGGGTCTCAAGGTGTGACAGGGAGAGAACGGAGTCATGAGTGTCTTTCTTAAGAACTCCCCAAAAATTTTAAAAAGATTTTCCTTATAAGGGTAACACAGGGATTACTATTTTATTATTATATTTTTTTTTTTTTGGGGGGGGGGGGGTTTCTGAAGCAAATGGTAGTTTGGGGTGAAGCCCAGGAGCAGGCAAAGATGTAGATGGACAGCATGAGCAGCATGAAGACAGAGATCATCAGTTGCGCAGAGTTCAGGAGTCCATTGACCAGGTGCCACATGACCTGTAAAGACGGATCGCTGTTGAAAGACTTGGTGCCCCAAACCCTCAACCCGCCTCAACCCTAAAATGTAGCAAAGCGGGGATAAAGTTGGATAAGGGTCCATGCATGGGCTCTCATTCAAGTCATGCGAGTGCCTTTCTCAAAACAGCTGCCTGCAGAAAAAAAACATGCTACGTTGGGGGCGCCGATTTTTAAAACCCAGAGCTTCATATTTAGGGTGCACAAGAGGGGCCGTACTTATTGAGAACTACCCCGATGAGTTTCTGGGGGGTCGGTGCTGCTTTTGGTTGTGTTTTTGTTCAAGGTGTAATGTGCCATTGATACAACTAACCCCATCTGCCCACGCCAGCCCTGACATTTCGGGCTTACTGTAGGGTTTAGGGTTTAAGGCTTAGGGCTCAGGGTTTAGGATCTAGGGTTTGGGGTTTAGGGTTGAGGGTTCTCACGCATTCTCACGCACTCTGGCGGCTCTGGTGCAGACTTGGGTGGGAGAAACCCAATCTGGGATGCAGCCGTGAGCATCACCCAAAACCCAGACCCAGCAAAGGCTGTGCAGTGGTCTAGGGTTTAGGGTTTAGGGTTTAGGGTTTAGGGTTTAGGGTTTAGGGTTTGCTGTGATGGGGCGTAGGTGCTGTGAAGGTTAGGTTTCGGAACAAGCTCGAAAGCTTCGTGAGGCGCGAAGAGCAGCTTTGGCCCGATTGTGGAAGGCCATCTAACACTTTTCTCCCACCCAGCGCCTCGGACACCCAAACCTATTCCTTTGAGGGTTTAGGCCTAAACTCAAGCCAACTGCTTACTTTCCATGCAACTTCTTCAGTGTCACGGTGGTCGCCAGCCTGGTTCAGGTTCAGAAAAGGGGGACAGGCAGAAGGGCAGAAAGGCCCACATAAGCCTGCCTCGCGCCCAAAGGGCCCACGCCGATTAGGGGGGCCCAGGGGGGCCCGGCCATAGAGGGTGAGGACCAAAAACAGCTTTGCACCCGGCCTGGCCTGGCCTGAAGCTCCCTGGTCCCTGGGCACGCTGCGGCGAGGGCTCCAGGACCCCGAAAATGCCAGCCCCATCCAAGAAGGGTTACTAGGAGATGCTCCGGTACCGGGCCCATCGTGGGTCCCCATGCTGTGATAGGCGGGCGAGCGACCTGGGTGGGCTTGCGCCATCGAGGTCGAAGGGCTTAAGCGCCGCCCCCCAACGTACAATAGGGGGGCGGCCTAGGCCCTGAGTTTAGTTGTGCCCTAGAGCCCAACGCCTCATGGGTTTAGGGTTTCGGGATAGCCTGAAGGCATCTATGCGGGGAAAAACAAGCGCTTGCGTGTGTTTAAAATTTGGGGAATGGGGTCATTGAGATTCATTCGGGGAGTTCTCAAAATTATGGTGCCGTTCTGGGTCCCTGATAGGACGTGGGGGCTTGTCATTGGAGAACTGACTATGTAAGGCTTTGGGGATTGGAGTATTTCCCGTTGGGCCGGAAACGAAAGGCCCTCATAAGGGGCTCTGCACCCCCAACCCAACAAAAGGACAGAGCGACTACCTTAAGCCTGAACCACGCAAACCACGTTAAACCGAGAAGCCCCACAAAAGCCAAAACCCCAAGCCCTAAACCCCAAACAACAAGGAAAACCGCCCCCTGCTTTTGCGCCTTGAACTTCTTTGTCATCCTCGCTGCTACAGCACTTCTTAAGGCGGCGTGGGATTTCAGCTGGAAACTTCCTAAACCCTAAACCCTAGACCCCAATTCACTTCGTTCACATCTTTCACCATTAAATTGATACTGTTCATGCGCTTACTTCGTGCACTTATAAACGTATAAAATTGAGTGAACGAATGAAATTGATAGACGAACGAAGTGAATGTATATATGATCAAAGAATAAAGAGAATGAGCGCGCCTAAATAATGAAGCAATAATAGGGCGCGCAACTAGTCTTATTGTTCTCCAGGCTTATTTGGTCCTTATGTTCGCCCGGGATTTCATTATTTTATCTAGTGTTTACAGACCGCCCAGAAGTGATGTTCGGGCTTTTTGGGGTTGAGGGTCGAAGGTTTGGATTGGGGTCTCTTAGTCAGCCATTGCAAGGATTCATCTGCCGGCTCCAGCAAGCACGTGGCCCTCGAGAAAGGTCGGGTTTAGGGATTCGGGTGTAGGGTTTAGGGTGAGATAACGATCTCAGGAAGGAAGCCCACAGCCACCCCTGCACCCAAAACCCAACACCCCTACGGCGCCGTACTGTACCGCTAGACCATGAATGCCCTCCCTGCCCAAATGAAGCTCAAGACCGCAAAACACACACTGGTGTGTATGGTTCCGTGTCCCGTGTCGGCAACCCCCCACCCCCCCCATGGTATCCCCCCCCCCCCCCCCACCCCCCCCCCCCCCCCCCCCCCCACCCCCCACCCCCCCCCCACCACCCCCCACCCCCCCACCCCCAACCCCCCCCCACCCCCCCACCCCCCCCCCCCCACCCCCCCCCACCCCCCCCCCCCCCCCACCCCCCCACCCCCCCCACCACACCCCCCCCACCCCCACACCCCCACACCCCCACACCCCCACACCCCCCCCCCCCCCCCCCCCCTAAACCCGAAACCCTAAACCCCTAGACCCTAAACCCTAAACCCTACACCGAAAACCCTAAACCCTAAACCCTCAACCCACACCCCAACCACACCACCCCACAGAGCCCAAACCACAGGGAAGCGGGGCGCGGACCCTAAACCCTAAACCCTCAACCCTCAACCCTCAATCCTAAACCTAAACCCCAACCACACCACCCCACAGGGGGGCCCAAACCACAGGGGGGGCGGGGGCGGGCAAAGAATTTGGGGGGGACCATGGGGGGGGGGGGGGGGCAGCGACGCTGCACCATGTACAGGGGTGGGGAGGGGTGATCCTCATGAGGACTAGAAGCCACCTCCACCCTCTACGTACCCCAACTCCACCTACTAAAGACCAACACCCCTGAGCCTTTTCAACTGCCCTGTGGACCTTAGACCCAGCACCCTGTGCCGACCCTGAGCCCGCAACACCACCTGGGTTGGCCGTTATACCCTTTGAACATATTTAGATATAGGGCCCCTTATGAACCCAAGTAAAACTTAAAATGGCCCTAATCCCTGTAAACCCTCGACCCCACACCCTAGATCCTAAACCCTAACCCCTACACCCTACACCCCAAAACCTAAACCCTAAACCCTAAACCCTAAACCCTAAACCCTAAACCCTAAACCCTAAACCCTAAACCCCATAGCCCTGAACCTTCCAGCTCCTGATGGCTCGGCCCAGCCGGAGCAACCGGAGGCCCCGCACGATGACGAACTGTTCCGCGCTGCCCCCACTGGGCAGGAGAGCCGGGCTTGTTTAGGGTTTAGGGTTTAGGGTTTAGGTTTAGGGTTTAGGGTTTAGGGTTTAGGGTTAAGGGTGGGTTTTTCAGGCTTGGCTGTGACAGCGAAGACTTGAAATGAAGATGCTGGGCCAGGGCTCTGGGGACTGGGACCTAGAAACCTTCTGCCGCATCTTGCGCCTGGAAACTGCCCAGAAGCTGGGTTTAGGGTTTAGGGTTTAGGGTTTAGGGTGTAGGGTTTAGGGTTTAGGGTTTAGGGTGTAGGGTGTAGGGTTTAGGGTTTAGGGTTTAGGAACTGAGGGATGTGTGGAAACAGAAAAAAGTGTTGGGAGAGGGCTCACTGCGACTTATCCCTGGAAAGATTTCAATGTTCACTATCCGTATGTATCTGTGTACGTACGTATGTATGGGTGTACGTACATGCCCAAAACATGGAACCCTGCACCCTGCACCCTAACCCCTAAGACCCAAAAACCTCCAATTCAGAACTCCCAGAGATCTTGCACACCTGTAGGGCTTAGGCTTTCAGGGCTTACATAGGACTCCGTTTACCTACAGTTACCTGTGGGTTTGCACCTACAAATCAAGCGTAGTTACTGAGCACCAGTACTTCTCTTTAGGGTTTGGGGAGGGTTGGGGTATAAACATTGACTCTACGGAGCTTGGAACCCTAGCAAACAAATCAAATTTTAGCTGTTTCTTAGGAGTTCTAGTACCCCAAAGCTAATAACTACTCCCAAGTATCCCTAAACCCTAAACCCTAAACCAAGTATCCCGAAGTATTAACAGGCCCTGCCGCCTGGCGCTGAAGATGGAGGCTGACACGCCCAGCCTCAAAACAGAGCTTTTGGCTCAGGGGTTTAAGGGCTTCAAGGGGGGCTACTTAAGTATATAAGGACTATATGAGGTGTATGGTATATACAAGGGGTATATGAGGGAAGAAGGTTAAGGGTCCCTTCTATTTAGGGGTACCTCCTTATACCCCTTAAGCTTAACGGCTTCAAACTATGCCTTTGGGGTTTCCGAAATTGGGGGCCTGATTTTCGTAAACACCCATTTACGGTACTTATATCCTTATAACTACTACCCATGAACCTCCAAGTACCCAACTGTCCGACTTGTACTGGCCCGCCCCAAAACCTGCAGAACCCGCAACAAAACCCAAAACCCTGGAACACCAAAACTCAACAATTGTAGGAGGTCCGACCTCGAACTTGCCAGGGCCCGACATGTGGCTCTCTCAATTGAGGCCCCCTGTTGCAGACCTTGACCAAGCCCTAAAACTTATAAGGTTTGGGCCTTGGGCTTCCTAAGCCCTAAGCCCACCCTGTCAAACCCTTTCAGGTTTAGGGTTTAGGGTTTAGGGTTTAGGGTTTAGGGTTTAGGGTTTAGGGTTTAGGGTTTACGGTTTACCTCCGACCCCAAACTCCTCCGAGCAGCATTACAAGGAACGTGTCGGCCAGGAACCAGCTGTCGCAAAGTACACCCGGTCCAGCTGGCGGAAGTTCTCTTTGCGACTGCGGTTTAGGGTGCTGGTTGGGTGTCCCGCAGGGGGGGGGGGGGAGTTTAAGAAAGGTTCCCTAATCAGCACCCACGTCTAGGGCGAAGGAGTTTAAACCCTAAACCCCTAAACCCCTAAACCCTAAACCCTAAACCCTAAACC